TTCTTTTGACAAGTGGCTTCTGATTGTGCCCAGCCAGACTGCGGCATCTTGTCCCTCATCCAAATCTCCATTCTCTATTCTACTGGCCTCCCTTCTATTTTCATGAAAATTTCCTTGCCCTTCTTTTTTTCTATGTTCCACATATAAGAGAAAAATATGACCCTGATTTTCTGAGGCTGGCATAATTCATTTAATATGATGTTCTGCCATTTCATCCATTTACAGGCAAATGACAAAACTTCATTCTTCCTTATGGATGTGTAAAATGCCATGTGTGGGCATGTGTGTGTTTAAGCCTATATCCCTCATCCATAGTTACTGGACTGTAGTCTAACACTGTAAGATTCTTCCAAACTATAGGCAATCACCATGGATGAATCAGCCTGAGGCTCCTATGTTACACCTGTGGCCATCAAAACCACCAAATTATATCACACCCTGAGCCAACACCTCACTAAGACTACCAAGACACTAGGTTAGGATCAAGGCACACAATGTTATGGGCTATTACTGAGGAGTACTCATGGCTTAAGACTGATGGAACCATCCATAGATAATGTAGTTGGAACATAAGTCTAATTGAGTGGGGACATATGTCTTTCCTTGGCACTGGAACTGTTCCAGAGGCTCTGTTCATAGGCAGGCCTGAGGAGAGGACTATTAGGATCTGCCCAGTGTTAAGTTTCATCAGTTCAGCACTAATAGTTAGTAATAATGTCCTGTGCTTTCTGCTTTTTCCTACCCGAAGTGAATGAGGTCTTCCACCACTACAATGCCCAAGGTTAGAGTAGTGTTGCTCAAGGTACTTTGCCACTTGGGTTGACTCTCAGCTGGGCTGCGGCAGATTCTCATAGCCAGAGGAATCCACACAGTCTCAGGAGTACACCCAGTCCAATGGCACAGCCAGTGTGGTAATACTGGCTGAAACATCAATCTGTCCCACTGAAACACAGATCTGCCTGGTATTGGGCAGTTTAAGGTTCCAGTCTGTGAGCATTGTCCTGGTGATAGCTGTGCTGTCCAGTACTGGGGATTGTTGGTGGAAAGAGTTGTTTGGCCACAAAGGTTGGTACCAAGCTGGTCCCACCTGAGTCTTACAAATGCAGGGGCCTGCACAATCTCAGGAGAATGAATGCTCCCTAGGTCCACTCAAAGGCTGAACTGATGTGGTCAAAACTCAAGTCTGTCATGCAGACATACAGTCTTTTCCTGGTGCCAGACTGGTCGAGAGGCTCTGTCTATGAGTTCTGGCCTGCATATGGGACTTTCAATTTCTACTGGGTGCTTGGTCTCACTACGGCAGGCCTGGCACTGGGCCTTGAGACAAAGCCCTATGCTAGCTTTCCTGTCTTGCTCCCCAGCAAGTGAAGTCCTACTCTCCACTCTGCTGCCCAAGAATTGAGGAGGGGAGGTGGAGGTAGTCTCTTTGTCTAATGTAGTTTCAGTGGTTCAGTCCAGGGGTACTGGCCTGGTGGTAGGGGGTCATGGAGCTCTGCATAGTGTGGGGTTTCACTGTGGCAGGCCTGGTACTGGGTTTCAAGGCCAAGACCTGAACATCTTTCTCCCTCCCCAAAGTGGGAGGTGCTTCTCTATGTTCTGAGCTGCTTGGAGTTGGAGGAAGAAGGTAAGAATAAGCCTTTTATCCTGCAACCTTTTAAAAAATTGGTTCTTTGTAGTTATTCATGACAGTAGAATTCATTTTGATAAAAGCATGGAATATATCTTATTCTAGTTAGGACCCCATTCTTATGGATGTACATGATGGTGATGGGATTCACTATGGTGTATCCATATAAGTACATAGGGAAGTTATTTTGGATTCATTCCACTATCTTTCCTTTTCCTATTCCCCTCCCTTCCCTTCATTCCCCTTTGTCTAATATCCTGTAAGCTTGTTAAATTTTTAAATCCTCCTTCCTTCTTGCCTTCTTCAATGCATTTTTTTTTTGTAAATTAGGTCTCTCTGATTTTGTAAAACCTGATTTTGTAAATCAACCCTCTCACCTGATTTCATTAGTTTTTGTCCTGGTAGTTGGTGCATTAATAGCTATTCAACTTGGTATATCTTTGGGGAGAGATTACAGGAGGATCTTATTAGGCTGTAATCTTGCTCCACCTCCCATTATCTTTTGTTATTTTTTCTTGCTGATGCTATTATAATGGAAATGGTTTCTTAATTTCCTTTTTGGATTGTTCAATGCAAGTGCACAGAAATGCAAATAATATATGTATATAGATATATTATCATGCAATCTTGTGGAATTTTTAGATCAACACTGATATTTTCTTGGGGGGTTCTTTAGGATTTTCCACATGCAAGACTTTGTTGGCTGAACATTAAACTGTTTTAACATTTCTTTACAGTATAAAATTAGGATACATTTTTACGAGCCCATTTTGTAGGGGGAAGTAAAATATCCCAATAATTATTTTTCTTACTTTTCTGCTAGTTCCCATGATTCACTCACCCAGTCTCCAGTTTAACCCATTCCTGTACACACCCAGCACTCACTTTTGAGACCATTCAAGTTTCATCCCAGACTGTGTAGAGAAAACCTTCACCATTTCCTGCTGCTCCTGGGAGAGGGTAGGCATGGAGGTGGAAAACAGTGCAGGCATTGGGATGGAGAAAGAGCTCTGGATCTCATCAGGGCTGGCATTCCTCACAATCAACTCATCATTCATGATGCATATACTGGAGGAAAAATTGACCCTCAGAAAATACTAGAGATGGACAATCGCTCACTACCAATGACAATCCTATACTCACCGCCACTCAGTAAACAAGATTCTTTCCATATCCCTACTCTGCATGGCTTCCTTGTCTGGAAGCCTCCATCCCTCCCACACTGCCTACTTTTGGAGGGACTATCTACCAGCCTGACCAGGGTTTTAGACTTAACTCCACTGCATTTATTCTGCACAACACTCGAATTTCTGTTTTCAGAAGAAGACATTGAATCAGAGACAAGTCATGTGTCTTGACCCATGTTATATAGATAGCAAGTGTTGAAGTCAGAAAGAGGTCTATCCCAAGTGTCAATGCTCTTAAACACTAGGTTAGACTTATCCTTAAACCAATCTGTTGACTTTCCCCAATATTAAGAATACTCTGAGGACTGCACCATCACAGTACTATAATTCTGGCCCCACGATGGTGTGGTTTTTCCCACCCATAACTTAGAACTTACCTGGAATTGTTGGTAGGGATAGCAATGAAGGTCCGGGTGAAGGCATGAACACATCCTTGAGACTTTCCTTCTGCTTCAAGGATAGCAAACAATACCCATGTAGAGCTGCACATACCCTCACCTCCCAGGATAGGATGCTGGGCAGGGTGGGGGTTTGGTGAGTGAGGCAGGCAGGGGAAGGCAGGGGTATGGCCACAGAAAGGGAATGAAGGCAGGGGAGGGAGAGACAGTGATAGAAGAAGCAAAGCAAAGGGAAGGGGAAGATGCTGCCCTGGTGCTGGAGGTCAAGGTGGAAGTGAGAAGAAACCAGCTCCCCTACTGCAGCCCATTCCTTCACCTGCCCCTGGCTGGCCCTGCGGCCCCAGGCAGGAATGCAAACATGTACCTGCTGGGCTCGGGCCCACAGGATGCAGGTCCAGTCTTTGTCTCCTGTGTGGGCCCAGAGGGGGCCAGGTATGGGAAAAGGAGCTGCCCCCAGGGGAGGTGTCATTCCCAGCACCAGTAGTGAAGAATCAGGCACTAGCTCAGCATGTGACAGAGGGTCTGTGGCCCCCTCTTATGAGCACCAGGTTCCCTCATGGTGGTCCCTGTGCACCTGTGCCTGTCTGAGTCAGTGTCTTGCCCGAGGAATCATCTTGACTTGGGCTACCAGGGCTGCTCTGAGGGACGAGGTTGGATGTGGGATGTGGAGTTGGGGAGGGAGCAGCAGTGCCCCTGAGCAGCCTGTGCTCCCTCCTCCTCCTCCTCCTCCTCCTCCTCCTCCTCCTCCTCCTGCCCCTCCTTTGCCCTCTGCCTTTCCCTCCTGTCTTGGGAAGGCCTCTGCTCGCTGGCAGTGGCCCACCTCTGGCTCCCTGACTCAGGGAACCCGAGTTTCTCCCCAAGGAGGAAACAGTTCCCACCAATGACCTAGAGGAACAGATATTGAGATAGTAGCCACCCTGGTCATCAGCACGGGCATAAAATCTCCATGTCAGCTTGGGACAGGAAGGGGGACTTTTCTGGAGCAAGGGAAGAATAGCCACTCTTAGGACAGAGGAGGGAAGCCCAAGTCCATCTTGGGAGGCCTTGCTGGAGGAGGTCAGTACAGAGAGGCGGAAAACACACCCCAGCCCAGGTGAAAATGAGGGGCAGGTCAGAAGAAGGAAAGCAGACCTGTGAGCATAGCTGAGGGACACAGATAGAGGATAAGGCATGGCCTGTTGTCCTTTCAGAGGACCAGGGCTGCATCCTCCTGCAGACGGGGATATCAGGGGCACCTCAGGCTCCCAGGAGGCAAAGGTCCCCAGGAAGGGTGACAGGTGTTACCAGGCATTATCTACCTTACATAGGCAGACTGGTCTGGGAAAGTACTGCACAAGGGGTTCCCTTCTAGCCACAGCTCTTCCAGCTTCAGCCCTTTCAGCTTGTCCAACTCCTTGGTGGTCCTCAGCTGAGAAAGATGGGGAGGGAACCAATTAAGGAGACCCAGGGAGAGAGGGACACCTGGGATCCTACATGCCAGCCCCTGGAATCCTCACCCACAAGTACCTTTGTCTGCCTCTTGCCAACACCCTGCTGTGCACTACCAGCCACCCTCAACCCAAATTTCACCTGGCTCTCTCTTCTCACCTCATTTTTGGAAAGGTTTAGTATCTTGACTTTGGGAGCCTTCTCTATAATGTCAGACAGGCCATCCAGCTGGTACAGTTTGTTGTTTTGCAAGTTCAAGGACAACAGCTTTTGGGGAGGAAGAGTTAGAATGATGGGGATTATCTAGCACCTGGGAGACACATCTGCCCTGAACACCATCCCTTCCACCCCTCTACCTAAATACCAAACCTGGGCCTAAAGTCTCACCTCAGGGAAATTACTTTCAATGATCTGCAAGGTGGCAAACATGCAGTTTCTTCGATTCAGGATCATGTCAATGTCATGGCCCACCAAGTCTTTGGGAAGCCAAGACGAGGGAATCAGAAGGCTAAGAGGGGTCCAGCTGGATCAATGTCAGCACAAGCCCCTCCCCAAGTTTCCATCCCTATGTCTTCCTCCCAGGAAAAACCCTCTGCCCTCACCTGCCCTAGGATTACTGTGGTCAGCAATACCTGATTCAAAACGGAGCTTTTGGAGGTTGAGAACTTGCTGGGAGGCATCATATCGTTTGCTCATAGTCAGCTGCAGAGACAGAGATGGAAACAGCAGCTCTTAGTCTATAGGGATGGGGACAGTGACATCAGGAGGTGGGGGAATGGGTAGTTTCTAAGAAATGGGCATATAACTTGCTTTGAGTCTGCACTACCTTTAGCTGCTCCATTTGTTCTGGCGTGAACTTATTCTGCATAGAGTAGGGTATAGCAGAAGTATTGACAAAGACAGATATCTGTGGGAAGGAGAGGTAGGGTCAACAACAGGAGTTCTAATCCTAAAGATAACAACCATGCTCCTACTCCAAGATAACATGATACAGGGAAAGCCCCTAGCACACACCTTTTGGTTCTCCTCATCACAAATCTTGTAGCTGATATCCTTTAATGCAGAAGCAGTTTTAACATCCTGTACAAAGAACCGGGCCTGATTTCTGATGTAGTGGAACTACAGTGAAGACAGAAGCAATGGTGTCAGATGACAATGGCCCCTGCTGAGCCAGGTCTCTCCCCCTCCCCTGTGCCCACTCAGCTGGCTTCACCATCCTCTCTTACATCGACCGGGGTGAAGGGGACAGTGCAATGGCTCTGGACTGTATTCATTAGCCATGCCTTGTCATACTTTCTCCCATATGGAATCTAAGGATAAAAAGAAAGAGTCAGAGAGGAGAAGACAGCAAGAAATTAGGATGGAGGACAGACCCAGCCAAGTGCTATTTTCCAACATTCTATCTAGCTTTAAAGTACTTCTAAAGGGACCACTGACATGATTTCTTGTTTCTGTGCCAAATATGGATTTCTGAAACCTCCTTCTCAGAAGCTCTTCTCCAAATAACCAATGTATGGTGTTTAATGTCATCTTCCTTCTATTAGTTTCCAAAATATCCTACTTAGTGCAGACCTTTCCATGACACTCACCGTAACCTTGAACCAGTTGCCCATTGCTTCTCCTTGTGTGTCCTCTCCTATTTCTCTCTCTTCAGGTTTTGTATCTTTCCACACAGTAATATGGATTTGCTCTTCATTATGCCATTTCTCTCTCTTCTTATTGCGGTGGGTGGTTTGAGTGCTGACAAATGGAGAGAAGGAGGGTGTCCATCAATGCTAAGAAAGCCTTCTATACCCCTCCCCTCACTGATACCAGGGTCACAATGAGGACTGCTCCACCAGTATGCCACTTCCACTGTTGTTCAGTTTTCCAGTGAGAGAAGAAAAAAAAGACCACAGAGAGTAAAAGAGTTGCATTGTCCAAGGGGCTGCTATCTGCAAAGCAGGCTGCCTGATTCCTTACTGTCTTATTGTGGGTCTTTGTGGACATACCTTATTGCCACATTTCGATCTCCCTCCTGGAGTTTCGAAGGAAGCAGTTCATAACCAGTATGCTCATAATGAAGATTCTTCCTGCCAAGATTACCCTGGGAAATTTTTCCACCTTTCTTTTTTACTTGAACAGCACTGTTATCATCACTGTTTTCTGAAACTGGTAACAAAAATGCAAGTATAAATTTCACTTAGCCTGATGTTCTACAGCTTCATCTGTTTACCAGCAAATGACATTGTTTCATTTTTCTGCATTGCTGAGTAGAATTTCATTGTGTATATATTCCATATTTTCTTTATCCATTCATCTACTTATGGGCAACCAGGCTGGTTGCATAATTTGGCTATTGTGAATTGTGCTGCTATAAACATTGGAATGCATGTAACTGTATAGCACGCTGATTTCAGTTCTTTTGGATGAATACTAAGGGGTAGAATAGCTGGGTCATATGATGATTCTATTTCTAGTGTTTTTAGAAATCTCCATATTGATTTCCACAGTGTTTGTACTAATTTTAAATCCCATCAAAAATGTGTAAATATTCCTTTCTCCCCACATCCTCTCCAGCATTATTATTTATTTTCTTGATGATTGACATTCTAACTGGGATGAGAAGAAATTTCATGCTAAGTAAAATTAGCCAAACTGACTCAGAAAGTCAAGGGTTAAATGTTTTCCCTTATGTGCAGAAGCTAGAGAGATTAAAGGAATAAAAATGTGGGGAATTTCAGCAAATTTGAAGGGATATCAGTAGAGGAAAGGCAGTGGACCAAGAGAGAGGAGGGAAGGGAGACAAAGGGGAAGAACTTGGGAATAAAATCAACCAAATTATGCTATATGCAGATGTGAGCATATCATAATGAATCCCAGTTTCATGTGTAATTATAATATACTGATAAAATATAGATATATAAATAAATAAAATGAAGGCCAGAAAATTATAGGAAGAATAGGGTGAGGGAGAAGAAATGGAAGTGGTAAGTCCTAGGGGATGAATTGGAGTAAATCATGTTATGTGCATATATGAACATGTCACAATAAACCCCACCACTATGTACATTATAATGTACTAATAAAAACATAAAAAAATACAAATTTAAGGATACATTAATTATCCACTTACCATGTCATGGCCCAACAGTGAGTTAAGGCAAGCAAAATGCCAACTTTCCCTAAGGATCAATCACACAAACTCCAGAAAACAAACTCCTTTGTCCAGATATGAGAGCCTTCTCTCATAGGTGACACAATCAAGGGAGATACTATAGACGAAGAAGTAACTCTGTTGGACCTTTTAATAAGTGGAGCAGGATTGGTAAGGATCAAGGATGTGTCTGCCCTTGGGTTAGGCTAGACATCATCTGCACATCAAGCAGCTGTTCTACACTTGCCTTCTCTGAGGCTTCTCCAATCACCACCAATTACTGGGAGGCATCCTCTGTAACACACCCTGATTCTAATCACCCACCAGAACTCACTGTGAATAATCAGCTAGCTGAGCTTCCTTTGCTGGTATAGTAAAAGTTTTAATGCGAGTTGGGACTAATCTAACATCCTGCTACACTGTCCCTGACACTTCCACCCTCGCCTTCAACAATACTCAGCTTGAAACATTCAAAGCAAGCTTTCCTTCTGCACAGCCTGCAATGCTTTCAGCCCAGGACAGGACTCTTCCTAAACTCTACTCTTCTGTAACAAGAGTCTGAATGACAAACTGGAATGAGTAGCTTCAAATACAATTCCCAAATGTGTGGGGATTTTCCTGTTCTTCTTTGTTGTTTCTTCCTCCTTCCCTCCCTGCCTTTCTTTTTTTGTACCAGGGATTGAATCCAGGGGCACTTAATCACTGAGCCACATCCCCAGGCCTTTTTGTTTGTTTATATATTTTGAGACAAGGTCTTCCTAAGTTGCTTAGAGCCTTGCTAATTTGCTGAGGCTGGCTTTGAACTTGCAATCCTCCTGCCTCACCCTCCTGAGCTACTAGGATTATAGGCATGCTGCACTGCACCTGGCCACCAGAGTGATTTTTTTTTAAGTACAAGTCAAATCTTGTCATTCCTCTGCTCAAAATACTGTAACAGAGGTTTGGAGCCCATCAATATGTTAAAGAGATATGAGTCCAAAATGACAACAAAAGGGAACCTTATTGGTGATATTTGGAGAATGCCAGGAAACCAGCCCATTTCCATGAATGTTCATAAACAAAAGGAAAAACTCTGGATATTAAACTGAAGGTTAATAGGGCACTTTGTCCAGGTATGGAGTTCAGGCAGAGTCTGAGTCATTTTGAGAATATGTCTTCATTGATAACAGAACTGAGGGGAAAATATAAAGGTGAGCTAGAAAATGCCTACAGCTACAATCTCAGGCAAGGCCCTGTGCTGTGAATCACAGGGGACAGTGAGCATGTGATAGAAAGCCACCATGGGCCCTGACAGTCAGAGATGTTGAAGACTAAACACACACAGGTGCACATCTACTCACTGAACTCCCACATCTCAGCCCAGTCCTTGGCTCATGGCCCTGCTGCCAGAACCAAAGGCCCTGACAAGAGTATGAGAAAGGAGCCAGAGTCTTTCTGCCTGGGTCTGCCTAGGTCCCCTTCAGGTGTTGCCTCCCACACCAAAACACTAGTGAGGATCCTTTATGACATGGTATGTGTTCCAATGCTACTTACTGTGTCATTTTAGAACCACACCCCCTCCACTTCCCCCCAATACATGGCAACTTCATCCTGCTGTGTGGTAGGGAAAAATGGAGCAAGAAGTAAACTAGCACTTGCCCAGTGCCAACCAATATTTTCTCAGTGTTGTGCGGACTCTAGGCTTGATTTGACCTCCTCACAGAAACACCACAAGAATTATATCCACAGTTCCTTTTCAGATCATGAACATGAAGCCCACAGACATGAGGAACATTTCCCTGGATTTCTAGCCCAGCAAATGGAGAACAAGTATTGTTCTCAGGACCCTCTGGTCTGCCTCCACAGTTTAAGTGCTTCTCCAACAACTGCACTGTTCTGAACTTCCAGGTCTCAAGGAAAGATTTCTAGGAATGGGTGAGGGATAAGATTTTTGTGCTAGTTGCTCCTCTTGGGGTGAGAAGCAGATGATTAGGGCAAAGTGGAGAAATCCCTCTTGGACTGGATGGGAGGAATCTATTTGGGCCATAGGTTTGCAGATTAGGAGTTACTTTGGGCTTGCAGGACCCTAACTAATATTTATTTTATGAGAGCATGTGATGTAAATTTGGGATCATCAACAAAACCACTTTTGAGAAGACTACATACATCGCACCTGTTTCTACCTCCATCTGTTTGTCTATCCCAAATTTGGGCTGCAGTGAAAAATATAACTAAGTAACTCCCTATAGACTAATCCTAAAACTGCAGCTTTGACAATGTCAGAGAAGGAGGCATTTGTAAATACTGCTGACCAAAATGAGGAGAGGCTTTCCTTGAATCCAGCAGACATCGCTTTCTGAACACATGGTATGTGTAGGAAGAATGTTCTGGCCCCATAGGCATGTCTTTGGTCACTTAGCCTCGTGACAGACATAAAGGACCATCCTTATCACAGAGGAAGGAAAGTGCACATGTGTGTGTGGGTATGAGTGTGTATGCATATGGACACATGGGCATGTATGAATGCTTTGCATGATGTGCTTCTATACATAGGTTACAGATATGCACATTTCAAATCATGTTGGTAACTGCATTGCCACACAGAACTGGATCTCACTGCAGAATTTCTTTTAATGTGTTACATGTTATATATGGACAAATTGTGTTCCTTGTGTTTTTCATTTCTCTTTTTTTTTTTTTTTGTACTGGAGATTGAAACCAGGGGTACTTAACTACTGAGCCACATCCCCACCCTTTTTCATATTTTAATTAGAGACAGGGTCCTCCTGAGTTATTAGGTGCCTCGCTAATCTGCTGAGGCTGGCTTTGAACTTGCGAACCTCCTGCCTCAGCCTCCCAAGTTACTGAGATTACAGGCATGTGCCACTGAGCCCAGCATGTTCCTTGTTGTGAATGTGCTTTTTAGTGCTATTTTCTTTAATCTTGGTATGTTTTTAAAATCTTGGTGTTTTAATATTTAGATTGTTTCTAATTAAGAAAGTATTAGACCCCCCACCCCCCTCGCCTGCCAGGTAGGGGAAGGGTGACCACCGACAGAAAAGGCCCAGTGGCCCAGGGCGGGACAGAGCTTCCAATCACTCCTGCAAGGTAGGCGGGCCTGCGACCCACCGGCAGAAGAGGAGCAGTCGCCTGCTGAGAGGTTGAGCCGCCCCCTCCCCCTGCGCCGGCATAGTAGAGGGAACTGGGACCAAACACAGAGCAGGCCCAGCGGCCTGCTGAGGGGCAGAGCCGCCCCCCACCCCCCTCGCCTGCCAGGTAGGGGAAGGGTGACCACCGACAGAAAAGGCCCAGTGGCCCGCGGCGGGACAGAGCTTCCAATCACTCCTGCAAGGTAGGCGGGCCTGCGACCCACCGGCAGATGAGGAGCAGCGGCCTGCTGGGAGGCAGAGCCGCCCCCTCCCCCCCGCGCCTGCAAGGTAGTCGGAACTGAGACCACCATCAGAACAGGTCAGACCTGCAACCGAGAGACAGAACAGGCCCAGTGGCCTGAGGAAGGGTAGAGCCGCCCCCCCCCCCCCACACGCCTGCAAAGTAGGCGGACCTGCGACCCACTGGCAGTACAGCCCCAGAGGCCTGCAGAGGGGCAGTGCCGCTGCCTGCGCCTGCAAAGTAGGCAGAACTGCGACCACCGACAGAACAAGCCTAGCGGCCCGCAGAGGGACAGAGCCGCCGCCCGCGCCTGCAAGGACGGCGGACCTGCTACCGACTGGCAGAGCAGGCCCAGCGGCCTGCCGGCGTGGTAGGCACATTGCCCCAATTGGCGGAGGGGCAGAGCCGCCGCCCGTGCCTGCGAGGGAGACTTTGCAACTATACAAGACCAATATAAATATATAGGGGGAAAATTCAATAGCACAACAGTTTCACCAAGAAGAAAGGAACGCGAACAGTATGAAGAGACAAGGAAAGAAAGGACCACAAGCATTGCAGGTCAACTCAACGTTAGAAGAGGTAATAGCTGCAGCTGATGGAATGTCAGATAAAGAATTCAGGATATACATGCTTCAGATGATCTGGAGTCTCAAGGAAGACATCAGACAGCAAAATCAGACAATGAAAGATCACTTCAACAATGAATTACATAAACAAATCCAA